GTAACTGTTCAGATGCATGTGATGAGCCGTCGCTTGAGTAGCCGTTGCTAATTTTACGTGTACGTGATGAGCTGTCCCTTGTGTATCTATGTTGAGATACGTTAATATATGTTGATATTATAACTTCGTCAATTTCACTCTTTAATTACGCTGAAACTAGTGCTCCTTGAATATAACACTTAACGGATTATGATTGTTGTGGCGTGACTGTTGGTTTATTAGATTGATTGTTAATTGATGATAAAGTACGTGGTATAGCTACAGTGAGTGATAACTGTAGGTTGAATGTTAGAAAAGGAATACAGTGAACCCGTCGTGGTGACTGAGTAGATGTTAATAGTACAGTACGCGGCGCGTGATGAGCTGCTCTTGAATATTCACGTAGCAGCTTGCGACGCCGACAGCAACGCCGATGCCTGTATCGAACATCCCCCCTTCCATCATTAAACGCATCCGTGGTGCGGCCTACTCCAAACACATATAATAGTTAATATTACTTATAATATAACAGAACATCACAAATTAATTTTATGTTTATTTTAATCACACACATCTTTTTCGTTGAAAAATAGTCACAAAAGCCATACAATATTGAAATTATTATAGAAACTTTATTGTCGTATCGAATTTAATTGAATATTTTATCTGTATTTTGTAATAGAATAACAGTGACAATATTGATTTTCTTATTTGTATTCAGAAATTTTAATGTGGAATAAATTTAATCTATAATATTAGTATTTGCGTGCAAGTTTAATGTTATGAGTGAAATTCATTTCTTCTCGGGTTACTTTAATTTAATTGAATCGTATGTTAAAAAAAATTATATGATTTTATTACATAGTAGAATCATGTTCTTCAGTTTATAATTTAGAAATTCTTTATTCTGTAACTTTTCTACATCTATTCTCTAAAGAATTCAAAAATTTAGACAGCATCCAAAATGTCTAAAAAAACTATCTATTATAATTTGTTTATAACGTACATGATATTCGCCTGTCATTTATTGTTTGACCGAAATTATTGATTGTGTAGATTATTTTTATAATTCTAATATAACACATTATTATGTACTGTTTAACTTATGATTTATCGGATATTCCAACACACACACACACACACACAACCAAACAAACAAACATATTAATTTCATATAAAATTCCTATTTTTCTATTTAATATCTAATCTATTTTTGTTATTTACATGAATATTTTTATGTATCAATCCTTATGATAATTAAATATGTAATTTTTACACGATCCTAATATGATTTATAAAATTGTTATGTAGCACTGCTGATTTTCAAACATCAATTTCATACCTATTTTAGATATAAATTCATTATCATAGTAACATACGATAAATTTCTAATATAATGATTAACCTAATAATAAAATCTGAATCTAGTAATTGTTTGTTGCATATAATCAGTCATTTGAATTCTTCTTGGAGAAGAAAAAAGGAAAAAATTGTCATTAACTCTCTATTGCGTAATTTAAATTTTTTATTTGATTTTGTTATAAGGTTTAATGCTGAGTTATAGAACAAACATGAAGTGACCATATGGAGTTAATTAAATATTTATTTTTAAATTCTCTATTTATAATAAGAATTTAAAAGCTAATCAATTTATTCTACAATGTATATATAAAATATCTCATATAAAGTAATCGAAGAATATTGAGAATTGTTTTTGTTTATTATAAATAAGTAAATATTTATTTTTATTAAAAATTTAGACACTTATGATGAATACATGATTTGTAACTGAATACATAGTTAAACTAATGCCTAGACAGAGACACAACAAAGTTCCAAAGGAATATCGTAGCAAAGATCAACCTACGAACAGTAGATATTAAAATTATACGGTTAAAAGTACAATTTCAGAGTCTCAAGAGAAAAATACGACTTCAGGATGGTAGCTAGGAAGTTGTCTGGGTAACCAAAAAAAACGTATTTCCAGATCCTCTCAGAGAAACTGAAAATATTTATGTATATACTTAAAAGTCTAACAAAATAATCAGCTTATTTTATAGATGCTCATAAAAGCGTTGTAATCTAAGTAGAAAAATGTGTACCTTAGGAAAGAGCGACAGAGATGAGTAATCATAAAGAAAGAAGGAGAAAGAATATATAATTTATATTTACGCACTGTAGAAAGTAGCTTTTAGTGGAGGCCAATATTTTAACACAAAGTATATAAATGCTGTCAATGCGCAGAAACTAACATAAACAAATGTTATAAACATATAACATAAACATATCTTATAAATTTTATTCATAACGAATGAATGTTACATAAATTTCATAATTTATTTATATGAGGCGATGTAAACATTTTAATTTTCTATCTTAATTTTTAAATGAATTCTTAATTTACAAACTTTCAATATATATTCATTAATATTCAATTTAGAAATCAACCTATTAAATTATCAATAAAATCATTATTATTTGTAAAAATTATTTAAATATGAAATTTAATTAAAATAATAATAGAGAACATTTAAGAAAATATTAAAATTTATTTATATTTATCTATTAGAATTGTTCTTAAAATAAAACATAATGATAACGTAAATATGACATAATGAATCTTTCGTAGAAATGAATATGCATGCATACATTATCACGTATTTAAACTATAAATCATATTATATTATTTCTCTAATATTAACAAAGAATGCAGAATCAATTGCGAAATAATAAAAATAGTACATATCTATCTTTATATTAAAAATTTAAACGTGTATCATCGATTAGCACGATTGATATAGTGCTGCATACAACTATTACAATTGCAGATCGTATGTTTCTATTCATATTTAGGCATTTGGATATATATTAAAATTTTTTAACTTTTTATTAAACGTATAAAACAAAATGTTGTAAAATCGATTAATATCCGAAAAACGTACGAGCCTGTTCGAAATTTATACTGACAAAAAATACATATATTGGGCAGTATAAATATCGACATATATACGTTCTAATGCCAATATTGTCAATAAATTGATTATATGAATATACACGTATATTTCAATGTAAACTATATCTATTATTTTGATTATTGTTTACTTTTTAAATAATTTTATATATTTATTTTATACATTATATCTTTTAATTATGAAAATCTAGTAAGACTAAGAAAAAATATTTAAAATTTTTATAATACATGTTCGATTTTAAAGGGTTAGTTTATGGCTCGAACTGCCAATTCAATAGTTCAGTGGATTAGTCTCTCGGCAGAATAACTTCAAAGGAAACAATAACAGACAAGGCTGAAAAATATCGTGTATTTAGTAAAACAATGTATATTAATGTAAATAATTATAACAATATTGCACTTTGATGTAGAGAGAAATAATTCTATTGAAGTAGTGAGGGTGTATTCTTGTATTTTTGAATTATTGTAGATGCTATGGATATGACTAAGTATCTTGAAGTTGAAGTAATGCTGATGTTGTAAATATCAGCTGATGTCAGTCAATCATGCTTTTGAGGTAGTATGAGAAGATGGTAGTTGAATCAAGTATGTTTGAAGTATGAGTAACTATACTTGATATGGTGTAAGATGTTTAATGGAATATATTAAGTAATCAATTGTATCTTTAATTATGTAAGGGGACAGTAGAAGAATTTAGTCAAAGGTAAGAGTAATTAATGGTGAGATTTCTAACTCGTGAAGTATTTAATAATCTGTATTTATAGTTTATTATTCGATCTGTTGTCCTTGTGTGACAATGTGCTTGAAGGCATAGCGACTCCTGCGTCAGCTGTTGATGGCCTGTACGGTTCCGAAGTGTTCTTCGAAAGAGCGTAAGTTTGCCCTGTATCTGCCAAAGGCCTGAGTGGCTCCAAAGTTTTCTTCGAAAGAGTATTCTTAACTATGATCTAATCTGCTGATTTTTTATTTCGTATGCACGCGCGTAATTTTAACTATGATACCGATTATATGGCCACGTGTCGTCTTCACAGTACACTATACACTGAGCGGCAGTTACGCTTGAGTGAGCGCGAAGTGATATTACAAATGAGCATATGAACCTTTTCAATACGCGCACAAACCGAAGGCTTGATCGTTCCGTGGCGGCTCTGCTGAAAATACCGACCGTTCCATGGCGGTCCTGCTGAGGGCAGATCGAGACCCGTGTGCCATGGCTTCTACTGGTAGGTGATTGAATCGGTTCACTATGGTCGGTCACGGCAAGATGTTAGCCGCAAGCGCAGTTGAGCGAGGGTGGTACAAGAGATGATTTTCAGCGAGAGGTATCTCCAGCAAGAGAAGTACTTTCAGCAAGAGGACGAGACGCGCCGCGTGCATCCCTTATATAGGCACGCGGCGGCTCACTTAGCTGGCAACAAGGCATTGTCGTTGTTGCACTAATTCTTACACGAGGCGTCGATGGAAAATTCTAGAACCTTCGAGAATGTTCGACGCGGAGAAAAGTAGGACTAATACCCTTGGGTGATCTTACAGTATATTATATTTCGGGTCGTAAACTTGTTCGGACTTGCCGAGTTTTGTTTGTAAATATTCGCTCGAGTACTCGTCCCGGTCCGCACATGCGGGCCAGTCTAGGCGCACGTGCGGGCCAGTCTAGGCGCACATGCGGTCAGTCTAGGCGCACATACGGTACGCCGGACAGCGCGTATTACCTTTCTTTTGTTTGAAATTCAAGATCTCGAACACACACTCATTCAAATATTAATAGATTATTAACTACTCATTACTTATTGCATTTAATAAAGTCAATTGCATTGCCCCTTCCACCTGCCAGCAAGCCTCCCCCACCATCATAAGAAGATTTAAAGTCTGATTCCAGACAATTACTAAATTATTGATGAGTAATTTTCAGAGTATAACGACAAATAAGTATTCTGAAATTTAATTTTTAATTTAAATTTTTCGCTTGATTTTTTATTATTTATTTATTTTAATTTAGGCTTACTATAGCTTAAACTGTGTTGAATACTTTTAAGAGATTTATGTCAATATGATTAATGTTTATGAAATTTATGGTATGTAAATTTCATTAAAAACCGTTAACCAAAAGACTTATTTTAATAACTAATTAATTATAAATGAAGCATTAAAATAATATTTTTCATTAGTAAATTAATTATATTTACAATGAAATAATTTCATTTTTACAATTTTTTAAAATTACATGTTATAATTAAAAAGGGGTTCTTTACTTATCCTGATTAACTATAAGCATTTTACGTGAATTTAAATCATTTTTATGTTATTAAATTACCAACATATTTTAGACAATTACCAATATAAAACAGTAACTGCTTTAATATATGCAAGCTTAATTATTATTGTTTTATTTTTACATTTCAGTGAAGACTTTTTGTCAGGCTTGCAAAAAAAAATGTAGCGGTGAGGTATTACGAGTGCAGGACAAATACTTTCATATCGGATGTTTCAAATGTGCCCAATGTAATATCAGTTTAGCACAAGGAGGCTTTTTTCCTCGTGAAGGTGCATATTACTGCACAAAGGTACGTCGATTTCAAAAAATTGAAAAATCAATTTCTTCTAAAAGTTGAAATTTAATTTAAATTTTAATCTTAAAACATAAAATAAAAATAAGATATTTCAGCTGTATTTTAATATTATATTAAACATTTAGGGCAAATATGTGGCTATAAAATGAAAGAAAAATATTTGTAAAATATGTCTTACTTTGTTCTACAGGGAAAACAAAAAGTATTAAATATCTGAAATATAATTTTTTATTACAAATTGTATTCTTATATATCTTTAAATTTATAAATTAATATATTAACATTAATTTTTTTAGTAAAAATAATCAACCATGTAATAATTTAAAAATGAATATAAAATTTAATTATTTTTCAAAGTTTTGAAGCTTGTTTCGTATATCTTTTCAGATATAAAACTGGGTATATGGAATTTTTTAACACGTAATATGGTTGATATTACCAGAGCTATGACAAATATAGTTGAATATCATAAGCATTTTGTAAAGCACCAATTCACTATTACGAGTATGATTAAATTATTAAATTTATGATTATATAAATATTGTTTTTTGTACAAATTATTATTCACAGTTATTTTACTATAAAAATTGCTTCTATTTTTTTACATTTATACAATATATTTACTCCACTGCATTGTAAATCTAAAACCAATAATAAAGCTCCATAATTGTAAATGATACAGTATGTAATTTGCGCTCGCGTAGAAAAATAAAAGTCTAGAAGATTGATATAACCACATTCAAAAAATGAAAAGCGACAATTAACAATGGCTTATATAAGATGGAAGAAAATCTAATAGAAGGACTAAAAGCATTTCTTATGCTTAGTTAGAACATGTGTTGTATACTATGTTCAAACAAAAACTTGACATTACTTCAAAACAAAAACTATTCATTGCGCATTTAGATTTAGTATTAATGATACATAGTTCAAATTTTAAGTAATCTTTTCTTGTGTATTCTCATCTTAAACAATCGGAAATTAGAAAATATATTTTCATCATTTTTATGTTTTTGTTATATACTGACCGGAATTGGAGTATTTTTTCGAGGCTTTCGGTTCTCGGAAATTCACCAAGCCGGCTAGCCCTGGAATGTTCTGCAAGGCTGCTTCATCTTCACATAGCAACGTCGATTGAATACTCAAATCTTCCAAGATTTTGCTTTCGCCGAATTCTCGAATAGCTCAAAACTGAGATTCTCGAACCTTCCGCAAGGCGGCTATTCTCCGCATTGCAGCTGCCGCGCTGATACTTAAGGAAGCGCGCACCAAGACTCCTCGTAGTTATCACACAGCAGTCACTCGGTAGACAGTGCCAGTTATTCTTCTGAGTCAGTTATCTGCGCCCTAACCACGCCATTAAACGGAGTCTACAGCAGAGAGAAAGTCACGCAACACACGCTGTCTCAGTGCAGCGATTGTAAGGAATACACGTTTAATTCTCCAATGCACAATGGTTAACAACCAGTCAAGGGATGATTGCAGTTTTGAAAAATAGTTAACAACACAAAGCATGGTATTGTATGGTATTGTAGAGAATAACTACTGCGTAAATAATCCCATACTCCCCTTCGTGATTATGGTCGACTCTTCTCGCTAATCTTGACAACGTTAAAATAGACCTCACTTCAAGCCATATTCCCCTACAAGGAATATACAAAATCCATTCCCGACCCCCATAACGTCGTCGACAACATGGTCATCATCACCAAGGAGCAACTACATCATTGTGGTAGAACATAATTCACTCTCTGTCATGAGAAGAGAATACAGAACAACAATAGCGTAGTTGGCAATGAAACCAAATAAACGATGTCCTAACGAAGTTTACTCACATTGTATATATTTACATCCCTTTTTTTATGTCCTTTCCTAAACATCGCTAAGGGGGTCGACAAATAAACTGAACCGTTCAACTTGGCAGTTCGAGCCAGACAACTAAGTAAATTTGATCCTTTGAATTGGATCAAATACACAAACTTTTTTTAACATATACATACATTTTTTAATAAAGCATTCGAATAGATTAGCATAAAAGACAATTTTTAGAATAAATGTTGCATGAAACATTTATTTTAATTGTATTTTCGAAAAAATGGAGGAATCTAAATTTTTCAAGTAATTTAGATTAGATTATATTGTGAATTATGAAAAAAGTTGTCTAAGCTTGCTATAAATTATCAGTAATTAATTTTTTACTAAAACCTTTAAAAGTATTTTCTTAAAATTTTATGTTCATTTTTCTCAAATCATCAGACTTACAAGTTTAAGCTATATTTTATTTCCAACTACCATTAAAATGGATTTATGAAATTCCATATATAGATTTTTTAAGATAAATAATTGATAAAAATGTTAGAACTTTTTTATGGAAAGAAAACCACATTTTTGTCTCAATATTATTATTTTTTCGTTAAACCCAATAATTATATGTGAATTCTAATTTTAATATTTAAATTTTTTAGATCAGCAGCAATAAAAGATTGTATTTAATGAAAATATTATGTTTTTAAGGCAATACTTATATATTATTTAGTTTTCATATTAATTTAAACAGTTGATTGTATTATTTAAATATGTTTAAGTATATTTATCTGTGAGGAAGTATTTTTCTTTTTCAAATAGTTGAATCTAATTAAATATCTTTTGAATATTCAGGATTTTATATAATCTTTATAAACTTTGAAAAAGTATCGTTTGGTATTTTAAGCTTAAGTTGATATTTACAAAACATACAAGTACTGCGTATTAAACTTTTATTATATTCGTATTCTATATAAAATCTAAGAACATGTAATGAATAAATTTTTATTCTAGAAATTCATATTTATTTAATTGTAATATTCCAGATAAAACTTTTCTTGCTTAATAATTATTTTATATAATTAAAATAATTTAGTGTAGTTGATAAAAGAAATATAGAAAATATATTAATAAATAATTTGAAATTAGTTTTTGTGTTATACTTGTACAGTTATTTCTAATGTAATAAGAAAATGTAGAAAAAGTAAAAAATATATAAATAATTTTTTCTATATTTTGAATACTCAGAATAATAATCAAAAGAATATTTGAATAATTATTTCATTATGTAGGATTATCGACAAAGATGGGGAACCAAATGTGCTGGATGTAGACAGTACGTTGAGGGTGATGTCGTTACTGCCGGCGATAAACATGCATTTCATCCAAATTGTTTTCATTGTCAAAGATGTAGACAGCCCCTGCTTGGACAAGGAACTAAAGTGACTTTAGTTCAAAGTAATATCTATTACTTTTTTTTATATGTAGCTTTGAATAAATATTTTCACATTTTTAATAATATATAACTTAATGTAAAAATTTCATAAGTATATGAACTTCATAGAAAACTGAAGCTAAACTTAATACTTTTATTATTTGTAATTTATTAAATGGAAATAGTTAAACAATTTTATTTATTCAAATAAAGTAATAGCGTAACTATTAAGATTAAGAAAGATTGTAATTAAATTAATCGTGTTATAACAAAATAAATTAACAAATATCCAATTTTTTTTATGCTGAGACTGCCAGACATAAGATATCATTTGAAATCTAAGAAAAATTTAATAAGAATCTGAGAGCCAGTTCAATTTATTATAAACTGAAAATTAATTTAATTTCTTTTGTCTTTTATAAATAGGTCAAGCATTATGTTACCGGTGTGTGAGCATACCTGTAAGAGAAGCCACAATGCCTATAGATTGCTGTAGTACCAATGAAGGTGTTAGTGATTCAGTTGATGGCTCGGGAAGTCAAGATCCTGCCGAATGTGCAGGTTGTAGGCAACAGCTACGCGAAGGCCAAGCTCTGGTAGCACTTGACAGACAATGGCACGTTTGGTGCTTTAAGTGCCACAGCTGTGATATTGTTCTTCATGGCGAGTACATGGGAAAGTAAGTATTTACTATGCTGTTGATAGTGTATTAATCATGTTTTTAAAAAAATTATAAAAAAAATTATATTATTTTTAATAAATAATAAATTTATAAAGTAACTAATTTTTCTAAATTTATTGGTAAAAAAAAACAAAATTTATTTCACTCAATATTCAACAATATCTTTCGATTAACTTAAAAATAAATTCTTAGCTTGTTATGAATACAGAATATAAATATATTTTATCATCTTTCCAATCATTCAGTACTAATATTTTCGTCTTTGCAGTATGGTTATTTTTTATTTAAATAATTAAGTTTTGATTAATAAATTTAACTTTTATGGTTAGGAATTAAGGTAGTATTTTAATATAACAGGTTAAGCAAGTAAATAAAACAGCAAATTTGTGATATTTCTAATGTGTACAATAAGAAATCTCTGAGTTAGAGCAAGCAATAAAAATCGATAATGAGACTATTCATAATGCAAAAAACATCTGTTAATATAAATTCACCAACTGAATTCGATCAGAAAAGATGATTTGTTATATAGTGAAACTATTGAATAGAATCAAAAAGTACTTAGTACAGGTTCGATATATCAAAATTGTAAGTATAATTGTTTATTAAACACAATGAAAACATTAAAAGTTGTTGAAAATATTTGTCTAAAAATAGAGTACCGGGCGAGGAGGGCCAAGTAACTAAGATTAGGTGTGAGCTCCCGATTTTAATAGGAGGATTGTAGGCTAGTGGACAAGATAGTGCATGTATTCAATAAAGAGTAGTTTAGTTATTTAGTTTTTTTTATTTTTGTTTTATTGCACTAATTGAATTATAATTAGTTTTATTTTTATAATTGAGTTTAGCTTTTCTTGATTTGTATGTTTATTGTTACTGAGCTATCATGTACGTTGCATACACAGGAAGAAGTTGATGCCTTGCTGGTCCTCTATATGTAACACACGTGTAGATGGAATAATACACACAGAAGAGCGAGGTCGTAAACCCCCGCGCTTCCTTGTATATGAGCACGTGGCGTCGCTCGAATTGCTTGTATTATGTTTTGCAGATAGCTTTACGTATCTGCAGATTGGCGCGTATAGCTTGATATAGTTATGTATTAATTAGGAATGGAACGTTACCTCGTAGTTCTGCACGTTGTGTATAGCTGTGTATGTTTTGTCTTGTTCTTTGAGTTGCCTCGTGTGGCTCCTTGCAGTTTGATTGTGTATACTGTGCGAACTGATATTCGTAATTCTAGATTCCCCTTTTTACTTTATTGCACTGCTGCGAGTGTATGATTTTATTATCTAGCACTTGTGTTGAATAGATTAATCTTGGACTTTTGCGTTTAATTGACTTATTTTTTTTCTGTTAGATAAGATAAGATAAGTGATTGTGCCGTGCCGGTGTTACCTTTTTTAAAGCCTTCTCTCGACCACGTGGTGGTCGGTGAGAATTCCCTCTCTTTTGGTGTCGCCAATCAGAGCTGTCTTGTTGATCATGGCGTCGCCAATGAGATTTAGCCGTATTAGTGTGTCCAATCAGAATTCTTCTTTAGTTTATGGTAATTCTAATCACGGCGCCTTTTTGAGTGGTGGGGTCTCCCACCAGTGAGTCTTTCCAAGATGGAGGCTCCAATGAGAGCGGGTCTTGCTCAACTCCCTTCCACGATGGGGGCGTCTTGATGCCGCGCTTTTCCCTCTCCATCCTAGCATTGTCGCATGCATTTCTTGTAATCATGCGCGTTGAAATCGTTTAGTGTTGTGAAGGCTAGGTTTAGCATTGTTTTGAGTGTATCATCTGGCTTGTGTTTTTCAGACTCATTTTTATGACTTGTGTACGCCAGATGTTTTATGACTTGTCTTCGATAGATGCTTTATGGCGAGGCCGTGTCAAATGTCTCGTAGCATTAGTTTTATGACTTGTTTTGCTGGACACTTGGACCCTTGTTCTCGCCAGATGTGTTTATGAATTGTATTTTCTTTAGATATTCGAAGTTTTGCTGAATTGTTTAGATTTAGTTAATCCGAGGCGCGTTTGAATGTTATTTCTCGAGTAGTCGAGAGTTTGCTTTTTCCGGAACTCTTATCTCGAAATTTCCAGATGTTTAATGAGCTGGGAGTTTTCTTACATTCTCGAACAATATTAAATGTTCAAAATCATTATTATCACTTATTGGAATGATATTTCAAAAAGTAATGAACCGATAAAATCGGCATATTGAAAAATTATTAAAAATTTAAATATTGTATAAAAATAGTTTTTGTTATAAAAGTTATAAATTAAAAATTGATAACAAAAATTAAATCTAAAATATATTTTCAGAAGTCATGTAACATACTTTGAGTCATCGACTTGAATGCTTTATATCATTAATTGAAGGAATATGTATAATAAACTAACAGTTTTTTAAATATTGCTTAACTTTCCATAAAAATAAACCTTGACACACCTTTATTTTAATTAAGCATTATTTATTTTTTTATTTTTAGAAAATATTGCTTTCACTAATTATAAAGACAAATTACATGCAAAATTTAATAAGCGATTGCTATAATATTTTGTATATGAATGTATTTTAAATTGACGTATATTAGAAATTTAAGAAATGATTAACTTAAATATATTTAAATTCGCTAATTAAATAGATAAATATTTTGTTATTTTAAGCAGAGTGTTCTATTAATTTTATTTGTTAATGAATGATAATGTATAATATAATATATATTAAGTTTTAAATAAATTTTTATAAATTAAATAATTAGAATAAAAAATTAATTTTAGTAAAAATTTTACATTAGTATTAAAAATATTTGTTTAATTTCTTAACGATTCATAGATACTAGAATATTCTTTTAATTAATATGTATTAATTAAATGTATATTATATAATTACTACATACAGTATATTCTAAATGATCTTTGGACTAAATATATCATAAATTTTAATTCTTGAAAATTCATTTTCAATATCACATGTCATACAAACTTATTTATCTTCCAGTTAATTTTATATTCACTAAATGACATATTAACTAGAGCATTTGATAGAAATATATTAATAATAATAAGAGAAAAAATTATTCAAATAATAACAAAATCAACAAATATATAAATGATAATTTGTAACTTTTTAGAAATGGGGTGCCCTATTGTGAGAAAGATTATCAAAAACAATTTGGTGTTAAGTGTGCCTACTGTAATCGTTACATAAGTGGCAAGGTACTGCAAGCTGGTGAAAACCATCATTTTCACCCAACGTGTGCTCGTTGTACGAAGTGTGGTGATCCATTCGGAGATGGAGAGGAGATGTTTTTACAAGGAGCAGCGATATGGCACCCACGTTGCGGGCCTGGACCTGTAGGAGTGAATGGTATGGTTAATGGACATTCCGAAAATCATACTCCTCAACATCGTGGCGTCGGTGGAGGTGAATCCGAACATATATCCAGCAGTGCATCAGAAATGCAGGTAAGAACTATGAGAGTGAAAGAATCAATTGTGTATAGTTTGTTTTTCTTCAGAGTTTTAATAATATTAAATGTAATAATGAATATTACATGTTTAGCGTTAATTTTAGCGAAATCGTTATTTTGTCAATTTAGCAATGAAATAAAAAATTAGTTTAATTAATTTAGTTATAAAAACATTCCTTTCAAATCTAATGAAGTTATTATCTTTTCCAATCAATTATTGTAAAAAAAATCATTTTAACAATATTATAAGTTATAAAATTATAACTACAGAATACTTGATTCATTGAAAAAAAGGATAAGGGATAAAGTAGAAAAATCAGGAGGGCGGAGTCAGCAATAATTGCGAGTCAGGGACAAACAATGAATTATAAAATATAGATAATTACATATACATTTTCATACAAAATAACATATAAAATGACAAAAATTAAAGCAAAATAGACAATTTAATACGAGTATTTGATTGTCTGATCTGTATCGTAGATAATATAAAATGCAAAAATTAGATACTGGAGTCTTTTTAATAATATATTCATAATTATTATTAGCAATATAAAGCAGTAAAAAGTGGGTTTATATAAATTAAAAAGTTTTATCAAAATTGTAAAATTTATTATGGTTGTAAGTGCGTAAAAAGATTTGTTCTTCCTTAAATGTTGATAAATTATAATATAATATACATTTTTGAAACATATTTTGGAAAATTTTCATATATTTCTTAAAATATAATTTTATTTTCATTTTTATGTTTTTAAATCAGGATTATAATATTAAAATTGCATACCATTAGAATTAGTATGTATAATACGATCCTTTACGAATTGTAATGTAATATAACCTTTAAAAAATTCATAAAATTATGAAAATTTAGAAAATTCATATTTTAAATATATATATATATATATTCATTCCGATTTCACAATTTCCAATTCAACCCTAATATTGAAAACTTTAGGGTTATGATATAAATCCGTTTCACACCACCTTTTTTCTATGAATTTACTTAAATTCAATTTATTCAATCATATTCAGACTTTTTTTTTATTAAAGACGTTATAAAATTAATATATCGAATAATTTATTGACCTTCTTCTAGTTTATAGAAATAAATTTTAACTTAATTAAAATTTTTTTATAATATAAAGAGTAATACTTTTGTATTTTATATTAATTATTTCTTAGAAGTTTAAGAATTACAAAATCAATTGTTAGTGTATAATACTAAAGTATATAAAATAAGTAATAAAACGTTTAAAAAATAGGTATTTTGACGTATTTACTGCCTATGTTACAAATTCGCATTTTATACTTTTTATATTAGTTATAATAATAATTAAGAAAATATAACTGCGAATAATAATTTTCATTCTTATTATTGTCAATGCATAATAAACTGTTTCGTATATTACATTTTCTCTATTGTAGTTGTTCCAAGATGACTTTTCCTAACTTACAATTTTTTTTTAATACAACATATGTAAAATTTCAACACAAGTGACTCGCATGTAATATTTTCGCATTTTATATTTTTGATTGAATTTGAATAATTTTGCTATTTTAATATATGTAATTATTAAAAATAATTTATTTTATAATTTGTTCATATTAACTTACCTTTAAATACAAAAATCCAAATATAATATTTATCAAAGTACAATAACAATAATGATTCAAAATATGTTTTATTATTGGTTAAACAACTATGTATCTTCAGTAAATCGAAAAATTCACGATGTAAATTTCTAAACTAACTGCCGTGAATGATAGAAATTAATAATAGTTATATGCAAATTTAATAAAATAAAATTTTGTTAAATATTATTAAAAAAATTAATTATTTTGTTTTAAATTTAATTTTAAATTATTTGATTTTTATAAATTAAATAAATTTATTTAAATATTATAAACATTTCATTTGAATGATTTTCTTTGTTCAACGTTTAATTTTATTAGAATTTCTTTTTTAGATTTAAATACCTCTCATATGAAACGAACCTTTTTTTATATAAGTATTAATTTGTAAGTTAAAAGTTTATAGTTAGTAAAATGTTAGAATCCAGTTGGTTTTTATAGAACAAGTAAAATTTAAAATAAATAAAGGACTAGCTTGAAATTAGACTACGTATTTTATATACACATAATGATTAAGAAAAATGTCTGCAAAAACAACATAAATTTTCCATGAACATAAGAAAATAATAGATGTATCAATTATTAAATGTACACGCTGCAATTGTCTTGTGGATTTAAGAAAAGCAAACATATTGTTCGAATTTAAGGATTTATTTTATGGCCTGAACTGCCAATTCAATATTTAAGTGGATTAGTCTCTCGTCAGGATAGCTTAAAAGGAAATAAGTGGAAGGGCTGAAAAATGTTATGTATTTTAGTAAAACAATGTTTATTATTTGTTAAATATTGTAATAATATTGCTGTTCGAGAATGCGAGACCTTTTTTCAATGCAATATAACATCTGGCAACATAACATCGTAAAATTTGTGTTTAGATTTTAAAACTTTATTGCTCGCAACTATCAAGCAATAGTGTCATAAAACATCTAGAAAAACAATACAATAAACACGGGAAAACCCACTCAGTTAGGCATATGTACGAATTTGCTCCGCTCGGTAACTACTTCAAGCAGTATGTAATAGCGGACCACCCCCCTTCCCGCTGCACACAAGTTGTCATGCTGTGCCAGATGCGTCAGCGACAACGGGAGCTCTTCTTGCCATGAAGACCAAGAGACGACTAGACCCTTAATTAACCATGAAGCCACAAGAGGCGCTGCCCGGGAGAAGGGAGAAGTCCCTGATTGGACGGAAAATGAGGGAAGGGGTTCAAGTTAAATTCATGGTTAGCGAATGTATTTAAGGGGCGCACTTTTCAATATTCTCACTCTCAATACAGTACTGTTCAGTTAATAAGTGGAAAGTCTTCTATTAGCGTAGTTCAAGACAACTATAGTTACAAGTCCGATTGGAGGGAGACACATTCCCTTATCGGAGTCCTAAGACGCTGGTAGTCTTCTATAAATGTAATTCACCACAGCTATCGTTACAAGTCCTATTGGCGGGAGACGCATTACCTTATCGAAGTCCGAATACACTGGAAGTTTCCTATTAACGTAGTTCAATACAATTATACTTACAAGTCCTATTGGCGGGCGACGCATTCCAACGACAAGGATCTAGTGACAAGCTCCCTTGAAGAAAGACCAAGGAGGTCCCAATTTCAAATGTACGAGCAGTCTTCCTAAGTAATATTATTACTACAATAATTGCATACTCTGAGATTCAGAGATTATGACATCGAAAAGCAAGTAAGGACGAAGAGGCTCTCCCCAGAGCAACAGTGCGGAATAGATTCCAGTAAGCGTCGCCAAGTTCGCGCCCGCTAAAGGGTGTCTTGTCGGCAACTCTCACCTTAGTTCAAGTTTGGACGCTTATGGACTTAAGCAACAAACAGCGCGAGTGTCGACGAATTAAACTTCGCGCCATTCTGCGGTCAAATTCAATCATCACGCTTCATAGATGAGAGTACATTAATCCACCATAAGAATTATTTCCATAATTAATAATAGTAATACTAGTCAACCTTGTCATCAATAAATAACGGAATAAACAGCATATACATCAGCCATATTTATATTGTATTATTATATTATCCCTTCCACTTGTGACCTTTCATCGCTACCACACAACACCCATGGTCTCTGATTTGTCAACGGCATCAATTTGTATCCTTCGAACCGGCCTTGGTAAAACAAGTTGGAACGGCGAATACATTTTGTACAATTGCACTGTTGTTGAGAGAGATTGTAGTGATGAGGGTGTTTCCTTGTGTTCTTGATTATCGTAGATTCTATGGATATTACTCTTTCTTGAAAGTTGAGGTTATGCTGATGTTGTAAATATCAGCATCATGTGTAGTCGATCATGCTCATGAGGTAGCATGAGAAGATGGTGTTTAAAATAAAGTATATTTGATGAAATAATGACAATACTAATTGTAAAATCTTGATGGAGGTTGGTACATAATCAATTATGTCTTTAGTTATTTATGGGAGCAGTAGAAAGGTTAGTTACACGCACGAGTCATGATTACAAGCATTCGAGCATTGAAGGCTTGAAGATGCATTTAGTCGATTCTTCTATGAATTGTCTGTAATTAACAATGAAATTAACGTGTTGCGTCAATTGGTCGATTGTTTAAGGGACTGCACGATGACGAAGTATTAATTCGAGAGAGCGTACCCTATCACCTGTCGACTTCTTGAAGACGAGTTTTATGAAACTCAATTTGCTCGTGTGCGATTAGCTGATAAGTAGCTGATACCTTGTAAGTTACCGACAAGGCATGTTGATTTTCTGCGTAACTGGCGTGCCCCCTTTGATTACGATTCCAACAGGCCTCACTGTAAAGTCACTCATAATCTTGCTGATTTCCTTTTGATAATCCAGGTGTGTTTTTAAATTGATTGCCGAATTTGCAGCCACGTGTCGTCGTCACAGTATATTAAAATACTGAGTGATAATAACAGTTGAGTGAACGCGAGGTAGATTTTCAATGAACCCTAACGAATTGATAGTAAAAAACACCGTGAGCAGTGGTGCATTGCTCTTAAATATTTGCGGCATAGTTGCGACGCCGACAAAAGCGCCATAGCCTGTTGCTATGCCGAAATCCGTTGCGATGTTGCTATGCGAAAATATTGTCGCATATTAGACACTATGGAGTGACAAGAATTCCTGGAATCGCTCCCAATTTTAAAATTTGAATTAAAACTGTCTCAATTCCGAACACATATGTGAGTCTCACTAAAGATACTTATGTAGAGCTGAAACAGAAATAGTCTAATAAAAGAAAAAACATTTATAAATGTATCTTTCGGAATTTGCTATCAAACTACAGTATATAATCCAATTGGATAAATTTGAGGATGTATGTGTTATATCTAAGGCATGATAAAACGATCAACTTGAATGTAGAATAATAAAATGAAAATACAAAGGAAATTGAGAATATAACTTTAATAGAAGTCTTAAATTAAAAACTTACTTAATAAACTAATCAAGAGAAATATTCGAGGGATGAGTTACAGCTGCATGAACAACAATTACTAATAATGATAGGAGATACTTTAATATTATGAATGAGATAGCCCTTGGCTGCCCACGCGAGCCTTTTTTCGAATTCTTCCTGCGGACAGCAATCTCTACTGTCTTGTCCCCACCTTTCAGGCCTCTTGCCATGAGTCCCCACTCAAGGAGCTTCTGGTCTTAGTTTTCAAATCAGGGCGCGCCGTTTTTCGGCGGCATGATGAATGTGCACGCCTTTTTCCCCCTTCAGAAGAAATTAGGCTTAGACAATGAGAATATAGAAAGAGTATCTCTGGCGGCAGCGGATATTATCGAAAATTGGCCCTTTCCGGGCCCCAGCGTGGTGGAGGTTGATTCTTGATCAAGCGTCTTCGCCTAGTTAATGCAAGCGGCAACATTTGGCGTACTTGACAACAAAGCATGATATTCTAGTAAGATTGTAGGCACACGTGCGACGTAGATTGTCGGGCGTCGTACATGCCGAGTTTCGGGTTGCAATGAAATTCAAAAAATGTTTTTCACTCAATTATTTTCAAATATTTTAATCCTCAATATACTCGTATAAACAGTCTAGTCGGGTTTTGATGTTAAGTCGCAAGGGTCGTTTATTGCATTCAAAACAGTTATTACGTCTGTAGTACGACGAGCAATAAAGTGACTATTTACGCGTATTCCAGATGTACAAACCTTTTCTAGTCTCCAGCAACCTTGGCGAGACTTTTTTAGATTTTATGTCTGTTCGATAATTCTTTTTTATAATAGCCTTTGAAACTTTCCTAATGAATATAATTCGAGAGATTTTCTTTTCACTCTCGAACAATATCATATTGACGATAAAGAACGAATTGTTCAAAATAATATTAATTGTAAATGAATGCAAAATTAGCTAATAACCGAAAAAGATTGAATGTCGATATTTGTAATAAAATACTTTTTAAATTATAAAGTTTTAAAGTATTGGTTCTTTTACAAGTTCTATTAGATAATTTAGTTTATAATTAATTTTATTTTAATTTCATTATATTTTACTATAATAAATTAAACAAATTAAATATTTTATTAAGTTGTAGTGTAGTATTAGGCGTTTGAATAATTTTTCATGGTGATGTTTTACAATCTATTTATGATCGAAAACAAAAGTTAAAATTTTATTAATTATAAAAACACTAGATTGGTATTTTTCAATCATTACTTATTAGGCTCTTATAAAATTCATTTGATGGCTAAGTATCTGTTCACTTCAAACGAAAATTAATATTTCCATTAGTTAGTAAACTATCATCATTTTATAAATACCAAATCATTTAGTATTAAAAAAGTATTAACATATATTACATAATGAGTAATTTTTAAAATTGATCGGTTTTATAAAAAAATGAAATTATTCAAATCACCTTAATATAAATTGACAAATTACGTGAAATTAAATATCAAAAATTTATATTTATAATATTTTTTCAGTTTTTTTTACATAAAGTTGATCGAATGCATTTTGTTGTTGAATTTATCATATCGAGAAAGCAAGTATTTGATGTTGCTTAATTTGATAATGAATTTAGAGGAATTATAAATATCTGCTTATTTTTCAATTGATGCTCTACAGATTATTATGAGTGCTAATATTAAGTACATATTGTAGAATATTGAATTATACACACACAGACGCACACGCACACGAGCACAATTTTGTTTTATTATGATATATGATAATAGTCTCCGCATGGTAATAATTAATATTTGATAAAATTAGTAATTTTAATAAAATTTATTTATAAAATTTTTGCTCGGTAGAGTTTATATTTTTTCATTGATTAAGTAGTATTTATATTATATTAGTGCCCTATTTTGTTATATTATTATCGTATTTTAATACTAGCAATTTTGTACTCAAATACAGATCATGTTCTTTCCTTATTCATACAAATTTAATTTTTGCTTTTATTAATTATATTTTATATTATTTTTGCACGATTATTGGTGTAGTTTTCATTGCGGTCTCGTACTCCAAGTTTGAATGGATCCTTATGCAGCCCTTATAGCAGTTTAAATCGCAAGGTACGCTACGTTTTTTTTACTTTATTACCTCAACTACCATTCAATCACGTAAATATAAAACAGTATAATTTTGTAAATTTCTATTCAATAATATGATTTTATTCGACTAATATTTTGATTTTTATTTCTTTGACATTTAGTATTATCCAGTAAGAACCGGAAGTCCAGGACTAATTTTGAGAGAGTATATTCGCGGGGGACATGAAAATGTTTCAAGAATTTACACGTATTCATATTTAACTGAAACACCGAGTCAGGGATACTTAAAGCGACCGATTCAACCGTACGATAAGCCACCCACTAGTCCACATTTTCATAGACCAAGTTGTAAGTTACGAATAATTTAAATTATTTTAATATTTTCAGTGTCCTTAAATAATTTTAAATACAAGTTATTATTTATTAAAGAAAATTTAGGGATCGCGTGAATTAAAAATCTACAAAAGTATTAAAAATAATTTGTATGTAGAAGTTTTGAAGAAATATCTAACGTGTATAAATTAAAAAAAAAATTTCCTTCGTTTTAAATTATTTATTTGTGTATAATTTCATAAATTTTGATTTGAAATAAAATGAATTGACATAAAATGATATATATCTGTGTAAATTAGGTAAAATATCTTTACAATGCATTTATTTTAAAAATAAGTTTTCTTTCCTGATAAAATTGTGCATGTCTATGTCATTGTTTTTTTTTTTTTTTATAATTCTGTGTTCAAAACATTTATTATTAATCAAGTAAACATTATAAATAATATATAGATAATATATTAATATATTTAAAAAAAAAATTTAATTGTTTCATCTAGCATCACGTTCGATAAGAAGCAGCGGCGGACGTAGCAGTCGTTCAGGCATGCGAGCTTTGGTCGATGCACTTACTGAAATGAGGCCAAAATCACCTGCGGCTGATTGTCAGATCGATAACGAAGAGCCAATCGAACTTGCACATTATCCAGATGCAATGAAGCCTCCGCCAGGAATGCAGTTACCGATCGAAAGAGACGATTTTCCCGCTCCACCTTATCCATATACAGATCCCGAAAGACGTAGGCGATGGTCCGATACCTATAAGGTACACATTTTTTTTAATTTAAAAGACACCTTTTAAAAACTCCTTTATTTATTTTTCTACCATCCATATTATTTCCATATACTTTCATAAATGTTAAAAATATTATGATCTTAGTCACATTGCTTTAATGCGAAAACATTTTATATTTTTTATTTCATTAGGGTATGCCAGATTCAGATGATGAAAATGAGGTTAATAAAAAATCTATCAAAGAAGTGGAAGAAAAATTGCAGAAAGAGCAAGACGAATTAAGTAAAATAGATACAGGTATTGCAAAAGTGTTTCTTCAAGATCGTGAAAAAGATCGGGAAAATCTCAGACATAGAGCAGCCATTGTTGATCCTAGAAATGCTTCTAGAACTCCATCTGCTAATCGTGAACCAGCTTACAGGCTACGTTATGAAAGTCCTATTGGTGCCTGTATGTAATTTATTAATATTTTAAATTTTTCAATTATGTTAATAATTTTGTGTTCTGATATGTATTATAATAGTTATTTATCAATATTTGATATCATTCTGGGAAAAGTCTATTGGTAGAAAATAAATATATTCCTCGTTATATAATAAAAAATATTGTATATAAAGGATTTCAAAGAAATTTTATTTAAGCATTTTTAATGTCTCGAAAATTTAAAAAATAATTAATTTAAGCTGCTTTTTAGCCAAAATTAATTCATAGATTTCTACGCAAAAATGCTACTTTTTAAAAATTACATTTAAAAGCAATTTTCTGATTTTGTTTTTACTATTGCCATCACAGATGAAAATTGTCACAATTTAATATACAAAATAAGTTAAGAAAGTCCATATACATACATGAATAAACAATTGACTAAAAGATACCTGAATACACAATTGGGAACAAAAATAAAACAATTATGATGTTCAGGGGCTACTGCAGTTGGTAAAATTCATTAACCAAAAAAATTAAAATTTTACTAACACTACAGCTGTGTGGAAAAATAATTGATTACATATTCTTAAAATCATATAAAATAAGTATAAAATAAATATAAAATAAAATTAATAGAGAAATGCATAAATTAAATTTTACAGCGCCATCGAGAAATATTGACCACGCAAGGCCTTGGGAAGAAGAAGATGGAATAAGTTACAAATCAAGCGTAGGACCGAGCTATAACGGTAAGTTTATCATGTTTAATTAAATTATGATTTATGAACGCTATTTATCTCATACATGTCTACATGTTCGCACATGACACTTATATTCCACAAATTATTAAAAATGCTTCTATACTAGTTATATTTTCTGTAGTTAGAAATTTATAAAAAGCAATTATAATAAGAAATAATACTTGGTTCATAATGAAAAATTTTATAAAATGTCTAAATGATTATCAATTTTAATGAAACAAATAGTAATAATTAAATGCAAAGTAATGTATTGTTCTTGAAAGTTATAAAGCTCTTAAAAAATAAATATTTAAGGAAAACTTGAAGTGTTAGATGAAAACAGTTCTATATAGATATCAGAAAAATATTATCTTGTACATACTGTTTTTATTTCAAATATATTTCTTGGATATTTAGTATAAAGTATAACGAACTTCTTATTTTTTAAATATCTTATATTATGCTTATAATGTATTTATGGATTACTAAAGTAATATTTCAGTCAAATGTATTATTATAAAATAATATAAATAAGCAAGTAAATATTTTATTAAATATAATTTCAAGAATAATACGATTGATTGAATTATCTAACTTCTGTGTTAAATTCACTGGTTTTTAGCATATTAGATGAAGTTATTATTAGATTAATACTTAATGCTATATATAATAAACTTTTGATAATACGTGATCAATTTTCCTCATCAGTATTTATTAATTTTAACATTAAGTCTAGCTTTATTTAAAAATTGATTAAACATTCAGTTTTATTATAAACAGAAATATTCAGCAAAATCCAATCATAAATTACCTGGTCAGTATGTGAATTTAAAGTACTTCATTTATAAATTTTTATGCAATATTTTTATGTTTCCCGATTTAATATTCACGACCGACTTATTATATATTACCAATAAAAATATTTTTTTAAGCAGAGAAATATACATATTTATAATTATTTTGATAATCGTATGTATTTTCTAAAGATCCTTACTATACCAGCTTCTGTATATTTATTTCGATATATTTACCTCAATTTGTGTAACCTTTCGTAATACTACATACATAGTCGGAGGCAGGTCATCGATTTGTTTTCTGGTATTGAAAGATGATCCGCCTCTAGGCTTTTAAGGTGCCTGTACTCTTCCAAACTCCATTACACACTATTATTTAATAAGTCATAAATCTTTAATTCCATATAATTATTTTACATGATGAATAATTTAAAAACCTATTGTAAGCTCAATATATTTAATTAAATATTTTATTTTAGAAATTAAAAAATTTACATATATTTTAAAAATAATAATTTCAGTTAGAATTTTTTATACACTATTCATTAATTATTTATAATAAATATATTATAAATACATGCTGTGAATTTTATAAGTATTATTTTATATATATTGAATATAAAATATTCAAATATATTTTATTTCATTGTTGTGATTTTATTTTATTTTAGACAAATTAATCAAATCAGCATATATATTTTACTTATAGGTTTCTATTAATTCATTGAATACATATAATATTTAAAAGACTTACATCATCATTACGAAAGATAATTTTTTAGATTGTAAAAATACAACTATATTAGGTGTGCCGGAATTTCTCATTAATTTAATTTTGATACTAAATATAGTAAGGGTTTATGAGATATATATATATATATAATAAGAATTTAGGTATAATCTATATATCAATTAAGTATAACATTTTTTAGTATTTTTTAATTTATAATATCATATCATAGTATTTTTAAGCCATGTTTATAGTGTTTAAAAATTAATTGTATCCCTAATAATATGATTTTAATAATTTATTTCTTAATTTATGTAAACCTCCGTACTATGATAAAAATATTTTAATTGTGATGACTTAAAATTAAAATTTTTCTACAAAAATATTTCACTCGTATATATCAGCTGATTTCTTATTCTATATTTAAATTATAAAGCATCGTATTTTTTCTAATATTTTATAGATTTCTATAATTGAATGTATTTTGAGCAGTATTAAAATTATAACATTTTGAAAATTGAGTTACAATATTAAAGTTTCATTTATCAATCATTGGTTATTTATATTTTTATATACTCATAAGTTTGCTTTAAAACAAAGTAGAGGCTTTCACATAAATATTTAATTACAGCTAAAAATGATTAAACGCAATTGTTAATTGATACATACAGATTTGAAAAATATAATTTTGTTGATGTTTTAATTGAGTTTGGTTGTAAATATTATTTTTAACTAAATATTTTTTACGTTAAAAAATAAAGCAAGCTATTATTGACACTATTAGGTATGTAAAACAACTGAAGGTTTTAAACTATGAAAAATACTACAGGTTTCGTTTCATTATAGTAAAACAACAGTTCAATTTTATAAGAAATAAATGCCAAATTATATTTTCTTATATTAAAGACTGAGATGAGCATAATTTTAAAATTAATTATTTAAATAAAACCAATGTAATGTGCAGTAAAAGAAACAATTTGATGTTAAATACTAATTAATTAATAACACAAATAGTCAGCTTATTTCATTTTTATTTATTACACAATATTATTTCACGATTAACATGTTTTTGTAATTAGTATATGCGTGAAATGATAACATAAAGAATAAATCAATGTGTCTCATAAAATATTGCGAACCTTGGACACTCGTATGAGCTGAATTCGTATGTTGTTAACAAAGTAAAAACTAAATATAGAAAAGAATAACTAATAAAAATAAAATTGTTCAATTGACCTTACGAATCACACAGTTGTGAGCTCACTACGATACATCCCAAAGCCGGGATACGGTCTTGCACCCCGAAGTCATACTTTCTCTTCAACGGGTGGTTCTATTTCTGCCCTGCCTGTAAGTTTAAGAACAATTAACCCACAGATTACTATTTCATAGTAGTTAACTTCTTTTTATTTTTATATACTCTAAATATTTTTAACATAATTTGTATCCGTAGTACACATTATTCATCAATGATAAATTTAAGTGTTGTTTAATCTTACAAAATATATTTATAGTATAATTAAAAATAAACAAGATACAAATGAAAAAATAAAAACAATGCATTTAAAAAAAAAATTCATTTTAATTATTGGAAATACAAATATTTATTTGGAATTGTTTGAAAGACAAAATATGTTATAAATTTAAGATAATTTAAAAAATATTTTTCAACTTTTATAAATAATTTATTAAAAAAAAATTTAGATCAATTTTGCTCGATAAAAGTATAATTCGCGTTGAAAAGCCATTTCGATACATTTATTTATATTTTTGCTTTTTCATATTTTGTCAAAGTTGCATAAATAGAATAATTCTTTATAATGTTTAAAGTTATAAACATTTAATTTATACATTTTTTTTTTGTTAAATAGGGAGACTACTCATTTAGTGGAATGGGTGACAAAACACACAGTACCGACTTTTCATCAGGAAAATCAGATAGTAAGTAATTAAATGTCCTATATAGAATTGCAATGATTAAAAATTACATGAATCTTTACATATATAAGGTCGTATACTAAAAAAGTATTAATTTATTATTGGATTATTTATTAGATCTAAGCATATACACAAATTATAATATTTCTTAATAGCTTTATTTATATTCAAAATTTTAAGTAAATAAGCATAATTTAATCATATTAATATTAAATAATTTATAGTTATATTAATTGTATATATAATTATATAAATTTAATAAAAGTAAAAATCAATATTTAATACATCTAAATTATTAGCTAAATTTCAAATAAAGAATATGTAAATTGATATTTTAATTAGAGAATTTTCATTCTGTTGCATTGTTAAAGTTAAATAATAATTTATTACAATAATTGTAAACAACATAAATTTCATTAAATTATTTTAGTGATTTCAATTTAAAATTGATAAGATCAAAATATATCACGTAGTTTATAAAAAAAATACAAAAATAAAATATATAATTGTTAAATTTTAAGAATTTAAGTCGGGATAAACTGTTATACAATTAAACATACACCATGTATTTATATACTCGCAACTGAAAAAAAAATCGTGGTAAATTTCATATCCGTTGAAATATATCTACCAATTTCTAGTTTCGAGGTTGTCATTCTCTGATTACAGTAATGAAGTTATTTTAATTACTTATACACTTAATTGAAATCATCAAAGATTACAAATAATAATCATCGTTATAAATAGTAAAATTAAAATTTTTTTTTTTAAATTGAGTAAGCAAACTGAACTGGCAGAAAAAATCGAAGTTTATATTGTATACAGATAGTGAAAAGTGATTTTTTATTTAAAAAAATATTAATGAACATTTTATTAGTTTTAAGAAATAATTTAAAATAATTTTTACAATGAACGTATAATTTAATTTAATTCTTTCAAATCAATATAAAATTATTATTTATTATAAAAGCATAAAAAAATACAGATATTTATAACTTATATATATATATATCATTTTATAACTAATATAGTTAATTTTTGAAAATATAATTATATTGAAAATATGTTGAAAATAATAAAACAATATGTTTCTAATTTGTATATACTAAAAACTAATATTCACATATCATATACATCTGATCGAATTGTTTTACGGAAATGAATAAAACGATAAATGACTAAATAATATTTTTCTTGTGTTTAATTCAAAGTATGGTATTTGATATAATAAAAAAAATTCTTTTTTTTTATCCAGTATCAACAGGCAGCATAACGGATGTAGATCGACGGGCACTGGTATGTACAACTGCCTCCTACTACTCCCAGCGGTTTAGCATGGTTCGTAGAATGCACTTTTTGCATCTTTAAAATGTTTCCTTGATTTACTATTCAAATGTAGAATGCATTTTCATTTGCTTCTACATTTTTACAAGAAAAAATCACTTACCTTTATATAGTGTAGAATATTCATTTCGAACTATATAATCATGCAACTTTTAATACTAATTTCAAAAATTCTTTTTAAAACAAAAATATGTAGAGTTATTTTTTTACATTGCCTAATTTTTATTTAAAAAATGATTAGTGTTGTAATATTTTAAAATCAACATGTATGGTAATGTATAAAATATTTCTAGTTCTTCAAATTCTAAAATTAATTTAAAATATAAGTTTAAAATTCTTTTAATACTAATAATCTATTTTATTGTTATTTAATTATTAATGTAATAATTTCATTATATTTCTTTATATTTAGTTTAAAAAATGTAGAAACTTATTATTAAAAATATTTGTAAAAAATAATAAAATTTATTAATAACATTCATTTTTTTCAATTTTAAACCAAAAAATGAAGTGTTGAATGCAAATATTTCTGACGTTTTGCTTAAAAATATATTTCCATTATTAAATCTATAAGAATTAAATTTTTACAAATAATTACATATTCTATTTAGAAAAGTTTAGGTTTACATGACTTCATATGTACAAATGAAGCAATACCTATAATACAATATTTATTTTTATTAAATTTTTATACATAAAGTAATTTCGTTAATTTTGGACTGATAATAAAGGCATTGCTTTAACATATTAATATAAACTTGAAATTTTACTATACACAAATATAAATTCTCATTTCAATATTTGTTCTTGTAAAATGACTTTATAAATTATATTGCTGTCATTTTTAATTGCATTAATTTATCAAACGATTTTTCATAAACTTTTTTGTAAAAATATTTAGTGTATTAAAAAATCATGATATTGTTTTGATTACTGCTTTTAAATAAAATTGATTGACAATCAATAAGTTTATAATCATAACTTAATATTTGAAATTAAAATACTATGATAAGAATAAAATTTAAGTGTAAAAATAATTCTTAGTCAATCTCTTTCAAATAAATCTATTTATTACAGTAATAATATAGTCAATGTCTTATATACTTAAACAAGAAAACATTGTCTCTTGTATTTAATTATCAGGAATTCAGATAATAATGTAAAATAATGTATAAATACTAAATACCAATGTTAAAATTGTAAATTTAAAAGTTGAGTAATTCATTATGAATATTTTTTTTAAATAACAATGATTATTGTGTAAGCTTTGAAATACTCACTACAATTAATTTTAAATTAAAAATTTTATATCAGAATGATAATCCAAATATTAAATATATATAAATCCAATTTTTTGTTATTACTTAGCTTTAGCAGTATTAATTGCAGTAACAATCAAAAGCAAAATATTTATTACAATCAGAATTATCTTTCATTAATAGTATTGAAAATATTTCAATTAATAATATTTAGTTTGCTGGATTAAATGCATGTATGTAAGTACACGTATTTGTAATAATGGATACGCGCAATTTTAAATAATTTTAATATTTTATTTATTATTATTTATCGCTCAATAGTTTTATTTTACTAACTCTATATTAATGAAGTACACCATGATAAATTTTTATTACATATTTTATACTTTTAATTATACAGAATTGAATTAAGTTCACTTAAATTCGTGTTTTATATTTTTTTTACATTTAAAAAAATAAAATTTAATTAAGAAAAATATTCTTTGATTGATTAAAAATCAACTTTCATAAGTAGAAGTAAATTGAAACTATGAAATACGATAGTTGTTAATATTTAATTTCTTAATTTAATCTTTTGTAATTATACAAAATTTGTAAGTGAAAAACTTGTAATAAATCGTAATATTTGAATTATTAATTTTTATCTTTCTTGTTATTTATTATTTAAATATTTCATTAAATTATTATTAAAAATGTTTTATTCTAATTAATTTTTATCGAATCCAAAATTATTATGATACATTTACAAAATATTACCACATATTTTCTTGAAATATAATACATTGCATATTACAATAAAATGTGCCTAGATTGTAAGAATATTTTATATTTTTATTGTATTAGATAATTTCCAATAATTATCAATTAAACTGTTCTAGAAAAATACTTATATCCTAATTTTAAAAACTTTTATTTGGAAATAAAGATTTTCTGTTATTGTTCATCAGAACATCTTTATAAATCATTAAATTAATATTTGTTTGTTAATTTTAATTTGCATTAGATAAATAAAAATATATAGGTAAAACCTAACCTAAGAAAAATTTTTAGATTGTTAATATTTAATATTTTTTATTTTATAGTACCACTTCTTTGTCTCTTACAATAAAATCTGAAATAATGCATTTTTAATGTTTTCTTTTCAATTCTTTTATTTAAATATTTTATAAACCATTACACATTCTACATAATTAATAAATATTAAAATACGTTAGTTATTATTATATTTACTTTATTCATGTTTTAATTTTAAAGTTTGTTATTATGAATTTAGAATGATGGTGGAATATTGCCATCTTCAACGACGTATACTGGCGGTCTGGAGTCAGCGATTGTTGGGCATGGACAACATGTGAGGCGTTCACTACCAGACATGGGCGCAGCTCCAACTGAACCACCGAAACTTTATCCCTATCACTTGCTCATTATTACGAACTATAGATTGCCAGCTGATGTCGATCGCTGCAATCTCGAGGTAAGACGAGAAAATGTGCAGAAACCTTAATGAAGTTATTTAATTATAATTTTAATTTTCTAAAGTTTTGCAAGTTGTGGTAAATTCTATTTCGATTACCAGTTCTTATTGAAATATTGAATAATACTTTGAATTAATACATTCATCACTCATATAAAATATAATTCTTATACTTATCATACTTTCGATAATTATTTAAGTAAGTAATCATTAGAATAAAACCTAATTATTACCTTATTAAAATACAACATAATTTATCTATCATTACTTCTTGTTTCAGCGCCATTTATCTGACACAGAATTTGAAGCTGTTCTTCACTGCACACGAACCGATTTTTACAGACTTCCTCAATGGCGTCGTAACGATATAAAGAGACGTGCTCGATTATTCTAAATAAAAAAATAATTGAAAAAATCTTTCTAAAAGAAAGAAAAAATATGTCGCCGTTATCGTTATCTTCCGTGTAAATTATTGTCATCGTTGTTTACTTTTTATTTGGTTTTTATTATATCTTACGACTGTGCTACTTCGCACTATTATGTATCTACTCCCGACATCAATTAAATTAAATTAAATCAATCAATTAAAAAAAACCCCTTGAACATATATCGTTATGATATGATTATTATTTCATAGAAAGTTTAAAAATATTATGTAAGAGTATAAAAATTAAAGCGACTAAGATCACCAAAAGTGAGTAGAAGATAGAGTTAAACGTGCATGTAAACATTGTTTTTTAATCAATACAACATTGATTTTATTGTTTTTTTTATCATGCTTTTGTAAGTAAGGAAGTTTGAAACTGTAAAAATAAAAAATATAAACGAATACACACTATTCACGTTATTTGTCAGTAATTTACTGTATATAAAAAATTGTTAATAGGCTAGGGAGAGAAAAGAAAGAGTTAAATAAAATGTATTAAAATATTAAAAATGTAAAAGTGCATTAATTACAATAAAACTATCTAAAAGCCAATTAAAAGTAAAGTCGATTACCCTTATGAATTATTATATTAAATATAATAGTTTTATTTCGGTATTAGTTTATTCTTGTCACTTATATATAATATGCGGGCGTACGCTTGGTCTCTGTGCGTGTGCGCCCGTGTGTCTGTTGTACTGCGTTCCAGTATATTGGGAAATAAATTATACTATATGAATCACATTTACTTATGAGAAAACATTATTTAAAAGAATAATGTTATTTATATTTAATTATATGATTTTTATGTAAAATATTAAAGCCGAAAATTAATATTGCGGAAATATCATTGTTTAAAAATATCCTTTATATTTTGCATTAATATCAATTAAAATAATTATATTGTTTATTAAAAGAAAAAATATTTTCGCATTTTAAATTATATATACAAAAAATAATAAAAAGAGATGGGCATTCAAGTAAAAAAATATATCATATGCCTGCACAATTATATCATGAATTGTATATTCATTTTTGCTATTATCAGAGCTACTTATTGCATAAAGCATATTGCTTCTGCTAGTCACATTGTAATAAAAAGACAACATAATAAAGTATATTTTCTAATTTTTTTCCTCCTCAAAGATCAATTTTTATAACTTACAGTCAGTCTTCTTTTGTCTTTTTATAAATAATTATAATGAATCTGCTTATAGTATATTGCTTGCAGCCATGATTTAATTTGTCATATCTTTATTTATTAATATATTTTGGAAATATAATTTTACTTAAGCAGATCACTTTATTAATATAATAGAATCCTTTATAGAATTTATAAATGGTTTGTATTAATCATTATTCACTAATTTATTTTTTTTTTGTATGGGTTTTATCAATACTGAAGTTTTTTTACTGGGATTACACGATTTTAGACTACCTACATTCTAATTACATGTGCTGAATTCTTACACTGGTAAGAACTGAAAACTTATGTGTTCGAAACAGTTTGATTTCCTGGCTCGAACTGCCAATGTTTCGATAGCTTTATAATAATTGCCATCCGCCCTAGCAGATGCTTGGGAAGGAATCAAGTGGAAGGGCTATAGAAATACAGTGTGTGTTTGTTTGGGATCAGACTAAAAAACCTCCCTTTGATGGTGGGTGGACGTGTTACTGGCAAGTGGAAGAGTCAGTGCAATTATTCAATACTACTTGTAGAGTTTAATGTCTTTCCCTTTATTAAATGTAATAAATATAACAATTAATTAATGGTCATAGGAGTATGAATGGATAGCGTGAGTGTATTATGTGATGAAGTTTCTTCAATTGTACGTGATGATGAGAGTGTGTGTACTCTCGGTAGAGTGAGGCGCGATTGCTTCCCCTGACAAGACGACTCGCTGTAGTAGTAGACAGGCACTGGAGGGGCGAGTGAGCCGATACTGCCTTAGCTGCCGGTGTAGCGTGCGTGCCGCTGCTGTTTGTGTGGTGGGCAGGATGTTCGTGTTGCGTCACTGCTTACGTGAGCGGGATGTTCGCTCGTATAGGTGTAGTGTAAGTACCGGTAGTGTGCGTTACTTACGTGGGCGTTGGGTCATCTTTATAATTGTGGTTGTAAGGAACGGTCGTGTGCATTGCTTACGTGGCCGTTGGGTCGCCTTTATAGATATGGCTTCACTATTAGTTCTTTGGACTGTTTGATGCTTACGTACGTGAGTAGTTATGGAGAACGATAGTGTAGTGGTGACGCTTGAAGATAGAGTGGTTAGTACTAGCACAATGAAGATGCGCATCAAGCGCTGCTCTTAAATATTCTCATACGAGCTTGCGACACTGGTAGCGCACCGGTGTCTGTTACTATGCCGATTATTATCGTGACGTCACTAGGATATAGCCTTGGAGAGTTCATCGGCATTGCTAGTTGAAATTATAATATAATATTTGAGCATTCTGCGTACTGAGATCTTCCGAATTCGCTGACGTGTTTACAACGTAATGTATATATGTTGATACCTCTCCCACTTTTGTATTCCGCCTTTAACTGCTTCAATCCGTAACAGTGCTTCTTCTATTAACATGGCTTATTATGGCTTATTTACAATTACATTATTGATGTGTTGGATTTGTGCGATGGAAAGGTGCATCCTATATTCAATCGCGTAGATGCATTAGCTTGGAACTGCTCCTGTGGTGAATAGTTTTTCTACACGAGATGCTCCTTGATGATGATGTTGATTTTGTAAGGATCGACAACCGAGAGTGCACACTCCATGTTAGGGAGTATGTTTTACGCTATGTAATATTAGCCTTGCTAATCTTGTAAGGATTAGCAATTATGTGCACAGACTTTGTTTACGCACAGTGATGCAGTAACCTTGATCTGATCCTGTAATGAGTAGTTCACTAATACGAATGCTCTTTGTTTATGATGTTGATTTATTGCTGATTTTGCAAGGATCAGCAATTATTATGCACGCTCCTGGATTAAGGAGTATGTCTTGTATCGTCTAGTGTTTTCTTGATATGATTGAGTTAGCGCCAGCACTTTTTATCTGCAACATTCGTGATTATCTCGCTGGACGACTAGTCTTCATAGATGAATAGTATAACTGCTCCGTCAATGACTGAAAGTCTACTAATGCGCTTCGTGATGCACTTGTCTTAAATATCCACGCGTCAGCTTTGTAAGCTGACAATAAAGGAGCCGACCATGGCGCTAGAAACAATGGCTGCGAGAATCTGTGGCTGTGGTGCGAGAATCAATGGAGATGATAGTGAAGAATTTTTATGAACAATTATTAACAAATGCTTTTATACAAAACTATTCAAGAAATTTTAAACGTATTAACAATCCTTATTAAAATTCATATTTGATATTGTTACGAATTGATAAGTTGAAAAGCGGAATACAAAAGTGGGAGAGGTATCAACATATATACATTACGTTGTAAACACGTCAGCGAATTCGGAAGATCTCAGTACGCAGAATGCTCAAATATTATATTATAATTTCAACTAGCAATGCCGATGAACTCTCCAAGGCTATATCCTAGTGACGTCACGATAATAATCGGCATAGTCGTGCAGCAGTCAGTCTTTGTCTCAGTCTAGTATAGTAACAATTACGCAGTCATTATAACGGGTGCACTATTCAATCTTCAAGCTGTTCTCTACAGTCATCACTCACTGCAGTAGTACACATACGTAATGCTCAACTAATAACCAATCTAACAAGCCAATAGTAACGCCACATTATCAAAATCCGTTAACTAAACTTAAATTAATAATGCGCTAGTGCTAACATAAATTAAGAGTGAAAATATCGAAATCATACTACAGATATTAACGGATCACACCGACGACTAAGGGAGAAGAAAACCTTTAAGAAGAAAGCATTTACACTAAAGCAGGAGCAACCCACTTTCGCTTAGACGACTTCGGTATAACAGCGGCGGCTCTGACGCATACTACGACTGCGGCGGATCTCACGTACATACCGACGACTAAGGCAGCAGAAAACCGGTCCCCTTTAGAAAACTTCGATACGATAGAATCAGATTTTACGCACCGACACTAAAGCAGTAACGACCCACTTTCGCTTAGACGACTTCGGTACAATAGCGGTGGCTCTGACGCAAACTACGACTGCGACGGACCCAACGTCCACGTAAACAACACACATGACCGTTCCGTACAACCACAACTATACCGGCGAACCCAACGCCCACGTAAGTAGTGACGCAACACGGACGTTCCTCACTGCCACTACAGCGACTCGTCTCGTAAAAGGAAGGAAACTCACATCACTCCACTGAGAGTATACACACTCTCACGATCACGTAAACCAATTGAAGGAACTCACCCTATTTATTCACTCATACCTTCATGTTCTTGTTATATTTAATAAAAGGAAAGACAAGAAACATTACAAGTAGTATTGAATCAATTGCATTGCCCCTTCCACTTGCCAGCAACACCTCCACCCACCATCAAAAGGAGGTTTTTAGTCTGATCCCAGACAGATATTTATATTCAGATTAATCTTTTAACATAACGACGATTAATAAGAAAATTAGACCCTTTTTCATAGATAAAATAATTATTAAAACTTAGAAAATAATATTTAGTTCACATTGAACATTGTACTGCATTAGAATAATAAATGGATAATCATCAGAACTACAGGATACAAACAATCTTAAATAATTATTCTCATCTAAATAATCTTATAATAAATTTCATCATCAATGATTTCAAGACATATTTTAATTTTTTTTCGAATTTAATAAAATAAAAAAATAAGGAAATTAGTTAAAAACTATTTCCTTCAATACTTTTTTTTATTAGAGCTTGGATTTATTACAAACAAACTTCAGAACAATTATAATAAATATCTATCAGGCTAAAAGAAAACATAAATTTACGTTTACTATCAAAACAATTATAATAATAAAAATTTTTTTAAAACAATATTTTATCAATTTCATGTTTACTGTAAAATTAATCCTTTATTAAATGAAAGAGCTTTAGCTTTACCTTATTAAAGCAGTAAACTGAAACATTTCGTATCGACATAAAGTGGTTGTTAAATATAATCTAAAATTTATTAATAATAAAGTAAAATTTAGTA